TGTGGGTTTCTTTCTGGACTCCCCGTGCGGCTCCAGTGATCTGTCTGTCTGTCTCGGCAGCCCAGTCTTGATCACGTTGCTTTATTACACAGCTCAGAGTCTGCCACCTTAGCCCAGCTTTGTTCTTCTTTTTCGTTTGTTTGGGCTATTCAAGTCCTTTGCATTGCCGTGTGAAGTGTAGGACCAGGTTGTCGGTTTGCAACGGAAAGCCTGCTGGGACTGTGATTGGGTTTGCGTTGAATCCGTAGACCCGTCGGGGAGAGCTGACGTCGTAGTGATTCTGAGTTTCCAGACCCACAGACGCTGGGTCTCCATTTATTCTAAGTTCTCAGCAAAGCGTCCGTTTTCGGGTGCCAGCCCCCCACGTCCCTGTCGCCTCCCTCGGCGTCTCTGCGAAGCTCAGGCCGGGCTACGTTCGCCTGGCCTGCCTTCTGCCCGGCCTGAGGGGCTCGGCCCTCGGGGCGCCGCCACTGCAGGTTCCTCAGACGCTCCTGGTCAGGACGGGGGCCTTTCCCGTGAGTCCTCACGTGCCGAGGTTTTGTTGGGAGCCTGTGCTGGGTTTTGTCAGATGTTTCTTGTGTCTGTTACAAGGTGGTCATCATGTTTTCCTTGGTTTGTTTACAGGGTGAATGGCATGGATTCGTTTTCAGGCGTTAAGCCAGCATTTCCTTCGTCCTTGTAGGCTGTTGTCGGATCCCACTTGCTGATTTGCTAACATTTTGTATAGAATTCTTGCCTTTTGTTCAGAAGGGATGTTTTTCTCTAGTTTTCTTGTAATGGTTTTGATTCTGGTATCAGGTAATGCTGACCTCACTGGGGAGTGTTCCTTCCTTTCCAGTTTTTGGGAAGCATTTGGACATAATTGGTATTGAAATATTTGGTAGCGTTCACCAGTGAAGCCATCTGGATTTGGAACTTCCTTTGTGTGAAGGTTTTTGACTCTACCTTAAAATACGTTAATGAGGGCGCGGTTAACAGCTCAGTGGCAGAGCATGTGCTTAGCAGGCACGAGGTCCTGGGTTCAATCCCCAGCACCTCCACCGAAAAAACACATGTATGTTGATGGATATAGTGCTGGTCAGGGTCCCCACTTCTCTGGAGAGTTTATGTAATTTCTGCACTTTTCTAAGCTATCAGAACCATCGATATAAAGTTATTATGCATATTCCCTTTTTGCTCTTTTATTATTTTTGAGAATTTTTGACCTCTTTTTCTTTTGGGGGGAGTCAGGGAGGTAATTAGATTTACTTGTTTGTTTATTTAGTGGAGGGCCTGGGACTGAACCCAGGACCTCGTGCCTGCTGAGCACGTGCCCCGCCCTGAGCCACACGCCCGCTCTCTGCCCTTTCAGCGTCCGCAGGCTCTGTAGTGATGCCATCCTGATGCTGTGAGTTTGTGTCTTTTTCTGTCCATCCGTCTGGGTGGAGGGGCTTCGCTCCTCTTCTCGGGGAGCCAGCCCTTGGGTTCACTGATTTCTCTCTGTAGCTTTTCTGTTTTCTGTCACTGATTTCCACTCCAAGCTTCCTTCTACCCACCTGGCTTTTGTTTTCTTTTCTTTGTCTAGTTGTTGTGGGAGCAGAGACCAGTGACTGGACCCCTTCCCTCCTTCTCTCCTGGGGGCGCTCAGCGCCGTGAACGCCCCCCAGCGCTGTCCACCCAGCATCCCGCAGACACCAGTGTGTCGTGCCTTCGTTTTATTCAGTTCAAAAACCCTTCTGGTTTCCTTTCTGATTTCTTCTTTTTCCCATGAATTTTTTTTGGGGAAATGTGTTACTTAGTTTTCAGAAGATTGGGGATTTCCTTAGAGACCTTTCTGTTACTAATTTCTGATTAATTCCACTGCGCCGAAAGCACACCACCCTTTGTGTGATGTGAGGCTCTTTTGAGTTTACTGTGATTTGTTTTATTTCCTGGAATACGGTCTATCTTGGTAAATGCCCCCTGTGCACTTGAAACGAATTTGTTTCCTGTGAAGTCTTTCATGAACAGACCAAGCTGGCTGGGGGTCAGGCTCGTATCTGGTTCTGTCAACATCGAGAGGGCTGTGGAAGCCGCTCTTCTGTGTTGCGGGTTTATCACTTACTTTGGGCCCTGCAAGCTCAGGGATCGGTGCAAGGGTGCCTGATGTGTCTTCTCCGTTAATTGTGGAACAGCCTTCATGTCAGTAACAGTGTTTGCTCTGAGGTCTGCTTTGTCTGAACCAGCGCCCCGCTCCAGCCTCCTCTTGGCCCGTGCCAGCAGGGCGTCTCTCGGGCCGGCGGGCACTCTTGCCTGGTTTGTATCTTCATAAAGAAAGTGTGTTGTAGCCAGCTTGCAGTCAGAGCTTGCTTTTTTATCCAGTCTGACGATCTCTGCCTTTTAATTGGGGCGTTTGGGTCGTCAGCATGTAGCGTTAGTGTTGACGTGGGCAGGTTTAAATCAGCATTCTCCATTCCTTCATGTCCAGCGTCTGGAAGGCCCTTGTACGTTTGTCTGTGCTTTGGCTGTTTCAGATGAGAGGCTGAACTCCATCGTGGCTGGAAACAGAAAGGATGGCAGCAGTGACTTAGTGCCATTCAGCTCTCCCTTTCCCTGTCTCCAAAGTGTCTGTCACAGGTGGGGTGTTTCAAGCAGGTGCCAAGCAAGGTCTGCATGCTGCCGCGGTCACACGATTCCAAGCCCCTGCACCAGAGCAGTGTCCCCCCCTCCCCACGCCGTGTGTGTTCAAGAGGCTGAGCCATTTGTCCGGTAGAAGTTCCTGGGTTTGGGTGAGCGTATCTCTGTGGCACTTTTTAACGCGCTCCTGTGTGTTTTCGGAGCCAGGCAGGCAGGGGCAGGGGGCCCGTTGTAAATGCTGAGCGTGCGAACCTGCCCGTACCTGCCTGCTTGCCCCGCTCCTGGTTTCCTGCCGTCGCGCCTCACGCTTCTGGTCCCAGAGCGTCGGGAAGGGCCTCTGAGCGACACGGAGATGGGCTGGGGCCCCCGCCCTGTCCCGGACCCAGTTACTGGCGGCCGCCTGCCCTCCCTTCACTGGGAGCTGCAGCGCGATGCTCCCCTGCGCCCTCCCTCCTGCCCCTGTTAGCTGTGGGCCTTCTGTGGAGAAAGCCTTTCCTCAGCAGTGGTCCGGGTGCTCTGCAGTCCAGTCCAGGGAGCAGCTGCAGGGTGAAGGCTTCCTGCCACTGCTGAGGCCGCCGTGGAGGTAACAGTTGTCCTGGAGAGGCGTGACCGAGCCCCGGGGGCCCTCCGCACGTTATGCCGTGTTCACATTCAGGGCCCAGATGGGTAACGAGCTCATGAAATTGCCGACTGCTCCCCCCGCGTCCCTGGCTGGGTCTTGGCCCCCCACCCCCACCCCGGCTTCCTGCCCCAGAGCACAGCTTGATCATCCCCTGGTGCCCAGCCAGCCCTGCAGTGGGGGCCCCACGGTGGGGACCCGGTGGCCCATGTGTGGGAAGCGGGCAGGCAGACAGCAGAGGCGGGAGGGGCGCTGGTTGGACCGGCTCCTCACTGAGCCCCGCTGGTAGCTGTTGAGATTCTAGGTGTGTTTAGTTTGGAAAATTAAATACAGCTTCTGTGGCTGAAAATTAAGTGTGAAAGTCTGTGCCTCGGGGAGTGCCAGGGAGTTGGGGTGAGGGTGTGGGTGGTCCCTGTGGCCTTGCCCAGTGGGGGGGGCACTGGACCTGTGCCCCCGTGTCCTCAGGCTGCCCTTCCACCCCCCCCGCCGTCTCCTCTGTAGCGTGTAGTGTGTGATGTTGTGCGTCTGGGATGCGTGTGATGT